TATCTTTTGGATTCTAAATGCATTCAAAACAGGTTGTAATTTATGAATTATTTATCCTGGACTAATATTTTAATTATTAAACAATACCATTAATATCATAAACCATTAAGCTCGAATTGTCCATACATGCACCCATTATATTATTCTTTGCCTGAAATTAACTAAAAGCCAAAGTCAGGATAACCTAAACATTAATCATTGTAATCAATAGTATTTTAAAGTTATATACAGTATTTATATTCTTGAAAGTATATTCTTTTTGATTCTATGGAACAAGATACACAATCTTGATAAGTTGGACCATCACATTCCCCACAAGTAATATGACAATTTTCTTATTAAAAGTCTTGATTGCAATTAAAAAAAATATAGATTCCTACTTACGATATTAATATAATTAATAGGAGATTTTTACAAATTGCCTAAAAAGAGACTAAAATGTATCTAGTGAAATACTCATAATTTTACCTATTCTCAAAAAATTTGATGTTGACAGACAATTCATCACCCTCTGATTGTACATAAATAAGATGCCATAACTTTATATTGTTCAAAACCTGGAATACTTTGGTTATTAAAAACGGGTCATTAGTAAAATCTAAAGTAACTGATGGAAATGTGTAACTATATGTTGTAATAATTAATTTATTTAGATTTTGTGAAAGCTTGTAAAATAGTAAAGGAGATATGTTTTGGTTCTAAAATTATGTATTTTACATATTTGAAGTCAATTTAATAAATTAAAATGTCATAACTTTATCAGTTTGAATTATTTCGTTAATATTAAACCATCCAGTAATGTAAACTAATCGCAATGCTGAAATCTTGAAGTATAAATTGATGTAATAAGATATACATAATCTTTGTTTATTAAATTACTTGTTGGATTGCTTACATGTACATATCTCCCAAGGTTTTCCTAATTAAATAGCAGAATCGGCAAAAACAATTGGCTTAATTTTGCCTGGAAATGAAGCAAATTTATCTCCATTGATAATATTAAAAAATGTGGAATCTACAACCACAAAATCACCTCCAATTTTTTAAATTGTCTTATAATCTTTCAAAGGTAAGACATTCAAAATTTCATTTTTCAAAATTTCTTCATTTTTAATAATTATTATTTACATTCTATTTTTTATGGAAATAAAATGAATCAAAATAATACCATTAATTTTGATATTCAAGAACATTTATGCTTAATTTAGAATTAAATTATTAATCATCATTACCCATAAATTTGATATATTTAGTGATGGTCATTTACTCATTAACCTAACAATCATAATATAACATTTTTAAAGTTTACGCTATATAAATGATAACAATAGCTATCTAGGATCCCAATAGAATAAGCCTAAATGATCGAAGTTAACAGAAGGAATTAAAACCAAGCACCCTGCCAGAATACCGCCTTTGCTTCATATTTTATTTCTGAAACCTCAAATTCTGTGACAATGAATGGCTGTTCAGGATCCAAGATAAATACATAATCAGTGAATACAGTTTTTAAGTATAAAGTAAGAAACAGAGCTTTGGTCATTTATCAATTTTCTCAAAATAATTTATGAACTTTTTGTCACCAAATTTTTTCAAGAATTGAAGATTCTAATTCAAAACTAATATATCTTTTATCAGAAATTAATCAAGTTCTGAAAATAAATTTGTATTCAATCAGTTAGCTTGGATAAACTTGATCATTTAGATAATATAGTCCCAAAACCACCTTTTCTTTGTCTAATTATATTGTATTAAAATAATAAAGATTGATATTAGAATTTTTTGAATAAATATCTAACTACATAGAATACCAGATTCAATTTAAATTTGCTGTTATTGTAATAAAGTGCAAACTATAACAGGAAGAGAATAATAATTAGGAAATTTTTCTCGTACTTTACTAATTACTCAATTAAATTTATTGTGTTTAAACAAATTACAATAGAAAGTCCTTTTTTTGAAACATTAAAATATTATTATTGGAAGATTGAGCTTAAATACTTTAAATCATAATAGTGTTATAAACTTAAATTAATGATATAATTATGTTTTTCAAATTTTACAGTCTCTATAAGACTTATCTAATCATTATTATGTTAATAATTTTAAGTTTTTTGGATGCTCTGAAACAATTAAGTTCCTAAACTTAAAATTTTTAATTGGTAGTTAAATTAGTTCAATGACTATAAATCAGTAAGTAAAATTTAAGTTTAAACGGTCTCCTCCTAGCTGTTCTTAAATTCCATTCTTCTATTAACTAAATTTCTATATAAATTTGGATAAATTTTTCTTCTTTTTGTTTGAGAGGAAATCATTAGAATAAATTCAATAAAGCAGTACATAACAAAATGGATTGTTGAATAAAGAAATAGAGTTAATTATCCTTCTCTATTTTGGTGTCCTTTTATACATGATAATGATTATAGATCATAACTTTTCCCCTGCTTGTTTACTTTCATCTAATTCATTTTTGTCCAAAACTTCAAACGACCCTTTTTTATCATCACACATTAATCTTGATGATACTATTAACTTTACTATTCCTTCAGCTATTACACTTCATTTTAAATTTTCAAACACCTTCTTGATTAACTCTTCTCATATAAAATTTGAGTGAACTGCTATTTATTAAATCTTTCATCATTTGTAATGGCTGTTAGAATTTACAATATAATTTATTACTATTTAAAAATATATGTATATACTTAAAATTGATATTTGATTAAGTAAAAAAGAATAGAAATTTATCACTTCGCTGTTTTATT